ACATACATACATACATACATACATTGAGATATATGTGAGATCACAGTTCTATGTATCTGGAATTTGCAATTTTTTATTACTATTGAAGCTGTACATTAAAGCTATGTAATTTATTTTGTGTTAATAAAAATACCTTGATCTTTACCTTCATTATAGGATTTTTGACCTGTAAGGAAAGTCAGTATGTTTTGGAATATATGTATGTATATTCATAAACTCATGTATGCATGATAAAAATCAAAGAATGGTTGTAGGCCATGTTAGTGGTAAAATAGGCGTTACATCTGGGGAAACATTTTATAGATTTAAATAGATTCTTTCAGCTTAGTTTCCCACTTTTCTTTCTTTGAGAAATCATCTTTTTGAATATTTCCTGGAAATAATTTAGATTATTTTTTCCCCTTCTTCTCAATTTCATGCTACTTATATTTTCTGCATATATCTGTTTTCAGTTTAGGTGATATTTATGCTAAGTTTAGTGTTGCTGGTATTTGCTTCTTTCTGTGTGCTTCTTTCTTTACATTCGTTTAGAATCTGGGTGATTGACACTGATTTAGTATCTCTTAATGTAGAGAAATTGTGTGCACATACCACACACACACAGACACACACATGAATGCATACTCTCTGAGCTCTTTAAAAATTACAGAGTATATACTGATAAAAAAAGTTTGTGGGTGCTTAGTAATGACTGGTAAGGGTGTGGAAGGAAAACATTTTAAATTTATTGACACAAACTGGTGATAACTGAGTGAGTATGTAGCAGAAAGGTTGATTGTTTTAAGTTTTTCAATGTATGTATTGCTTATCCTTCTGTCTTCTGGCACATTTCCCACCCCTATTTTAAACAATCTTAAGGTTTGACAGTACAGGCATGCTGGTCAGATTTTAGTGCTTGGATATCAAATATAACAATTACTATATATTTCAACCAGCAGGAACTGAGACCCCTGTTGGTGTCTTAATCCAAAAACAACATTTTAAATTCATATAAACCTTGCCTTAAGGAATGGAGAAAAGACAATTTAGGGAACAGCGTGGGGTTAAACATATTGATCAGTAGTTCAGTAGTTCTTGTTAGACTTTGAGTAGAATGTAGACATAGAAAAATAACATTATCAGCAACAACAAAGAATGATTTTCCTCTCTAGAGAGAATTCTCTTTTGCTTCAATTATATGGATTTTTGATGATGAAAGACATAGTTCAGGCAGGGCTAAAAAAAATGGAGAAGTTGAAAGCTGGGTGTGAAACCTAAACTGAAAGATTTTGTAATTTTTTATTATTATTTAAGCTGTACATTAAAAGGGGGTTAATGAGCTATATAATTTTTGTGTCAATAAAAATAACATAGTAATTTTGAATTTTTGCCAATGTGCAAAAACCATTGCTTGATAAAGTTTGAGAAATTAATTAATTATGTAGATTTTGGTTATAGTAACCCTGGTAACAAGATTCAGTAGCCTGTTGATTTTGTGGTCTTTGGGAATTTATGTTTCTTTTGATGAATGGAAAATTTTTATTTTTTTGTTCCAGTTTAGATACTATCCATCCACTAATACATATTTGTAGTTTTCAGCCAGAATGTGTTCATGTTCTATTGGTTGTATGTGGAATGATGCTGGAAAAGACCTTACCTTTTGGTTATTGGTGAATTTTTTTGTGAAGAGATACTAATGAGTAATATATCTTCATCTCCCTTTTTCCTCAACAATCCCAAATAAGTGAAAAAGAAAAACTACTGAAACTCTATTTCTTTTAAATACATATGGTTGTTTAAAATATTTTACACATAAATTATTATATTAATAGGATTTTCTGCTAGACAAAATATTTGGTAATTCTTGGAACAGAACCTTGATTTTTCAGTTTTGTTGTTTTATCTCTAATGTTAGAAACCAAGTCTAAATCTCACTGTGTGTCTGCTGTAGGTAGCTTGTATGCAGCTCATAAACGCCCTTGTTACATCTCCTGATGATTTGGACTTCAGGCTTCATATCAGAAATGAATTTATGCGTTGTGGATTGAAAGAGATATTGCCAGTAAGTGCCCTGCAGTCTCCTTATTAATATTTAAATTAGAAGAGTACTTGAGAGGGGGAAATTTAGATAAATTACCCTGAAGAATAATTTATCTATGGGAAAAGACTTGAGTATAAAAATCTATTTTTGAAATATAGATGATAAGATTTGAGTATTATTTAACACTTTATATGTTTGAATGCTATAAATCATGTTGAATGGTTGGTTTATTGTTTATATGTTATACATTAATTTTTTGCATAATTAAAAACAAAATCATTCATCATAATTGCAATTTAATATCTCTAGAGTTTAAAACGTATTAAGAATGATGGCCTGGATATCCAACTTAAAGTCTTTGATGAGCATAAGGAAGAAGATTTGATTGAGTTCTCTCATCGTCTGGAAGATATTAGAGCTGAACTTGAATATCCTTTTTTTCCTGAGGTCTAGTCAAAAGATACATAGAAGCACTGCTAATTCCAAAACAACCGAGTGCTCCCTATAAAATAGTTAACTCGTTTCTATGTAAACAATGTGAAATCAAACCTTTTTGCACCAGGAAAATGTTATTTTGTTAGCTCTTTCCATTTTTCTGAGTATACACATATATAAATTGATATTACAATTAACAAATGGACCAGCTTTTTATGTGGTGCATCTTCCTTGCCACCTATGCTCCTTCTCTGCACAGTGGGTTCATACTCACTAGGCCCCTTGTTCATTTTGTAGGACTGCATTCTTCCAGAGATCCACCGGTATTCTCTACTAGTGCTTCTCCATGATAAATAACAGCTGCCCTGGCACTGTCAGTGAGAGCACCCCTAGAACTCATTATGGTGTTCACAGCCAGCAGCTGCTACCTTCACCTCCAGCAGCATTTTCACATAGGAAAAGCAGATTATTTGGGGTTATGAGGGGAAAGCAAGAAAGTGTCAGAGCAAGTTACATTTCCAGAGTTATTCTCTGCCTTCAGTCTTCAGTACCTGTATTAGGGTAAGATAGATAATGGTTTCTCAAAGCTTTACAGAGCAGATTCTGTATCATATTATCACAGTTGTTTGATGTTACAGTATAAATAAGTCCTTATGTTCCTTAATCAACTTACTGAAGCATCTGATGTTTACAACATGGTATGGAACACAGTTAAGGAAACCAGAGCAGAGGGATATTTTATTTCTATTCTTCAGCATCTTTTGCTCATTCGAAATGATTATTTTATAAGGTCAGAGGAAGTTATATTCTAATGTTTTCTTTCACCATTAAAAATCTATTAATTGTGAAGTTCACTTGATATTTCATTTGGTCTAAAAAATAATTTTTATTTCTGTCATAATATTGATTTATGTTTTTTTTTCCTCTGGGCATACATTTAGATACATTATGGTGACACACTATTATATTACTGTGACTTTAAATTGCAGGGGATTCTTGGTTATAGTCTTTCATCTGAATAAAAATTCAAAGTAGCAACAAATTATTTGTTTAACATGTGATGGGTAATATTTTCTGGTTATTTCTTATACAGTACCTCTGATGTTGATACGTTTCTATTCATAAGTTACATGAAAGGTACTAAACACGGCATTTATTAGTGTTTAAGTAGCTGGAAATTACCTTAATGATATAGGTGTGTTTAATGTTTCTAATGCATTAGAGAAACTATACATATGGCTTTTCAGGTTTGATAATATACCAGCCAGCTGAGCATAACAAATTGTTTACCCTTTCTCTACCTCATCTACATCATAATGTAGCTCTATATGTATATGAACACCTAACTCACTGGGCTGTAGGAAGATTAAGTATGGTAACAGAGCCAAATCCCTGATACATGGTGCATGCTTAATAAGTGTTCTCTATAATCTCTTTCCAGTTTTATTGCTATTTTATGAGAGAAACTAAGATGTTTGAATATAAAATCCTCTATGTTGCCACCAATTTATCTTTGCCGTGATTTCATTCTCAATTATTGTAGAGTGTGTCTTTCCTACTTATTTTCAAGTAGAAGGATTTGTTAGAAAAGCCTCTATCAGACTGTGCCCCTGGGTGAAGGCAAAGTGCAGCTCAGTGTTGTACTGATGTACCTAACAAGCGGCAACAAGAGTCAAAATGTTGGAACTTCAGATCCTTCAGGAAGAGTGGAGGTCATGCACCAAACTTCTTTGTAGCTAAGAACCCCATAAATGTTTTACAAATATAAGTTTAATAAACTGCTTTCTGATATTTAAGATAAAATAAAAGCTTACATATTTAACCATTTTATAAATGCTAGATGAAAAATACTAATTAATAAGATTTTATAATACCCCTTATATCCTGCTAATTACAATACTATATTTCTACTCCAAATTTACTTCAAAATGAAATTAAAATTTGTCTTTATTCTGAAGTAACCCCATCAATTTCTTGATTTGTTTGTATGTGATCCCGCTGACCTCAGATTGCTTTTTGCTATTGCAAGTTCCCAGGAAGTCAGGACCCTGTTAGCATTCAGTGGTTTGAATGTGTCTGCGGTGCCACAGGGGTTGTGTCCAAGAGGCATGGTATTGTGTCCAACTTCAAAACAGATCGAAATAAACAACTGTCCTGGGGCATGTTCAGCCCATCTTATTTTAGCAGGAGACATACTTGTTATAAGTTTAATACAACTATCTGTTTTTGTTTCATGATCTCAAATTGCAATTAGTTATTGTTATTATTTGTCCACTCTTATAAATTTATATTTTTGTTGCTTTTATTATATTATAGTATCACAGTTGTGGTCACATATTTTTGTCATCCATTCATCTTTAAAAAATTAACTTATTTAGCTTTTTATTTCCATGCAGTAAAACAACTTTTATTGGTATAAATGTAAACATTCTATTAATGTTGTTCTTTGTGTTTTCTGTTTATATTTTTATTTCCTCCATTGTACCATGGACCTGCAATTTGCCTTTTCAGAAATCTTAGATGACCTTAACATTTATTATTGAATAACATTTTAAACTACTGTTGATATAAACAAATATAACATTTCACTTTTTGTAAATAACAAATTATCTTGTCAGAATGTAAAATGTTCTCATTTTAAATAATTGAGGAGAAAAATTAAGAGTTTTTTTTTTTTAATTTAACTTTTGGGTTAAAAGGAAATTTTACTGAAATGTTACTCCATTGGGGAAAATGTTCACAAGGCAGCCATAATTCCTCAAGAAAAAGGGGTAAAAAATGTACAGGAGGAGGAGAAGACCAAATTCTGTTTTGACCAAATAATTAGTGTCTTATCAGGTGCAAAATATGATGCTAGTTGAAGCTCAAGGGAGATAATTTTTGATATTTGTTAAAAATACTACAGATAAAATGCATATGATTTCAGAACACATTCTCCAACAACAGTAGTATTGTGTCGGTGAAGTGTAATGGCAATTTGTATTTATCACTTAATTAATTTATTCACATATTCCCCTGACAGATTCATGATACTTATCATGGAGATTATTACCTAGATGTACATTTCTAAGATCCAGAAACATGTTATTCTTGGCTATTTTTGCTTGCTGGAAGAGTTTTTGCATGTAATTTGAGCCACATCATTAATGAACTCATAAGTGGACATTGTGGATTTGAGAAAAAGTGTGCCAACATTAAATTTTAAAAAATGACAAAATATCTTGCAGTATTAAAGCAAAACCATTTTTATTATTAAACTACTAGACTGATGTTAAGATTAAAAAAAGGAATACATCGTGGAAAATTTCAAATGTGATAGATATATCAGTGTAAAAGAAGTTATAACAGCTAAACTATTAAAGCCTTACATTATTTAATGTCCTTGAAAGAAGTAGAGAAAATTGAGACTTAGGAATCATTCCTTGAATACTTTACCCTGTGAAAATTAATGACTTAGTCTTTGATAATATTTAGCCATACTAGTTTTATTCAGCATAATAGATGATTTATTACATGTAAGGTAAATAGTTCAAAGATAGTAGAACACAGTTTATAGGAAAGAGAGGTCCATGTGGCCAGAGGGGCTGTCTATATGGAAAGTGGTAGAGAAGAAAATTTCACTACGCATGTCCTGGAGGAAAGAAAGAATTCTTAGGGGTGATTGGGAATGTTATTTTGTACCTCATTACAGTACTGCCTATTCTAACATTTAATCTGATTTTGTTTATAATTTTTATTGCATGTATTACTTTCACATTCGTTGACTAGATTTTTAGGGAATGTTCTTAGGGTATTAGAAATACAGATGGACTATGTTTAACTTTTAGAAACAACATGGATCCTATTTGGGGATTTTAGTTGAAATTTAATTTTTGTACATTGTTGTCATATTAAATGTTTCCTAGTTTTCTTTTGAGTAAGAAATACTAGTTTAGCATTACATAACATTTACAGTATCAGTTTTGTTTGTGTTTGTGATGTTGAAGATCTAACCCAGGGCCTAAGGCACACTATACAAGTGCTCTACCATTGAACCACATCCCCAGTTTCTGCAGTGTCAGTTTTTAATTTGATTGCATAAACATTCTGAAAATAATGTGCAATATGGCTTTAAAGAAATTCCCATAAAACTTTTTGTAGAAAATATTTTCTTGGTTTGTACTAATAAAATGAATGAACGGTAGCTATTTTGGTGTGACACAGTAAAGTTTAATGATCTTTGAGGATTACCTTCAAGCACATATCACTTCATTTTAATCTCTTTATAACTGTTGACAAATTAAGTAAAGGTTTTGACTTGTATTTGAAAGTCATCTTTAAAGCATTGTGTATTTCCTTAAAGCTTATTTAAAAATATTTATTAAAATCAATAAATGGAATTTTATTTTATTTATATTTATATTGCCTAATTTTTAATTAGCAGTGTTCTCTACCTAACACTTGTTGAAACTATATTAACAAATTCTTGAACTTGAAATTAAGCCTAATAAAAATTATTGTTTTGATGTAATAAGAGTACATTTACTCTTCTCTTTCATTTTAGACAACAGTACTTCAAATTAATCGATGAGTGTGTATCCCAAATTGTATTGCATAAAGATGGAATGGATCCAGATTTCACATATCGAAAACGATTGGATTTAGATTTAAGTCAATTTGTAGGTAAGTATTTCTTCTTTTAAATTCAAATATCTTATTTTTTTCTATGACTTGGGTTAGCGCTGTGGTATTGGTTTCTATGATGGACTTCCAGAGGGTCTTTGAGTCCCTTTCAGGGTATCTTAGCAGTCATTATAATACTTATTTATTATTTGCCTTTTTGATTCTGTTAATGTCTTCCACTGATGGTGCAAAGCAAAGGGGTGTAAAACTTATAAATCAAGGCACTGGCACTAAACTGTACTCAGTGTATTCTGTACATAGAATAAAGCAACACGTGGGGGCACACTTGTAATCCTAGATACATTGGAGGCTGAGTCCGGAGGATCATAAATTTGAGGACAGCTGTGACAATTTAATAAGACCCTGTCTGAAAATAATAAGACTCTATAATAATAATAATGATAATAATAATAATAATAATAATAATAATACAAAAGGGGCAAAGACATGATTCAGTGCACCCCTGGGTGGAACCTTAGAATTGCAAACTAAACTAATCCTGCCAATTTTCTAAAAAGAAATTCCATGTAGTCCTAAGAATAATTTCATTACATGTTGCTGCTTGAGAACATCTTTTCAATATTGTATGTTAACAAATGAATTATATGCATAAAGCATTTGTGTGTACCAATGTATAAAATAGTCGAAAACAGTCTTTTAGTTTGAAACACTGTCATGTGAACTGGTTACTCTGTTTAGCACACATATTCATAAAACTGAAATAGAGTGAACCTGTGCTTCAAAGACAATGACAGCATTTGTGACCAATTAGAAAATCTGAGTTTTTAAGTGAAAATTAGAATTTTGAAAACTCATATTTATTTCTGCTACCTTTATACTGTCTTAGTACTAACAAAACAAAACAAAACAAACCTTTCTAGTGTGTTTAGTGGAATAATTACCCAATATGATTATTTTGATATTGTATAAAGAGATGTGTTAAAATTTGGAGATGGGCTTGACTCACCAAACCTCTCATTTCTAAATAACCAGCGCCTGATGATACAAATTTAGCATAGGCAAAAGGTCCATTAAAAGTTAAATAGTGATGCATGATCTTACAGTGCAAGTTCATTGATATTTGGACACTATTTAAAAAGTATCATTTGTGAAATTTTGGTGTAACAGCAGAGAATAATATACAGGAAGGTCTGAAAAGGCTATTAATACACACCTCCCGTTTTCAACTACTTATCTATGCAAGAGTATGTTTTTCTTCTACACTCAGGAAAAGAAATGGAATGTATAGAAGGAGTAGAGAACTAGATAACATTAATGACACTGATAATGAAAATACTTGTTTCTGTGGAGAGAAACAATTAGCATTTCCTAAGAGTAAGAGCGGGGCATAGATTCTAAGAAAAATGTACTCTATATATGTAGCAAACCAAAATGGGAAATGATTTTGTATGGTGTCAGAAAAATATATCCCACTTGGACATTAGGAATGCTTTTTCTTTGGTAGCTGTGGGATTTTGTTATTGAAGTCTTGAGAAAGAAATAGAAAGCTTTGAATACTGCTGGACAATACAAGTGAATCATATTTATACAGTTTTAATAAATTTATTGCTTATTAATTTTAAATGATTAGAATAAATATACAAATTTAAATACAGGAAAGACCTGTATTTATTTGAGTAGGTGAGAGAAGAGATAAAGTCCAGCAACAGGGAAGTAAGGTGTTAAAAAGCATAGGGTGCTTATAATTTCATATATCATAGTAATTGGGAGATACTGTCTATATTTTAGGAATCAGATAATTAATTATTTAGTGCCATGGAGCCAGCCGATTTAGCAAGTAGAATGGCAAAAAATTGTGATTAGACAGGCACACTGTCTTCATCTTTTATAATAGGAAGTTTCTTATAATGTTTTAAGTAGATCACTCAAGTTACAACTGCATTTGCATATTATTTTAATTAAGAAGCTAACCACCAGAATAATCTAATATAGAAACACCAATGAGAGGTTACACTTAGGAAGCAGGCTAAGGATTGGATGCAGTGATTTGGTTGACTGTTCTTTTTCATTATAAGTTTTTCTATAATAAACTATGCTCATGTATTTGTTTCATTAATAAAAATGAATAAATAGGATAAAAAGGATATTCGTGGTGTATGTGTGTGTGTGTGTTTAAAAGTAATTCCATTTGAATCATTTCTTCTACATAATATATTATACAAATATATATCAATTTAATTAATCTACTATTAATGGGCATTTAAATTATTTCCAGTTCTTTTAGCTAACATAAACAATATTTTAATGAGTATTCTGCCCAATGGCAAAGTCCTAAAAAATAGTATTGCTGTCTGAAAGAGTGTTTTCTTTTAAAATTTTAGCAAGTATTGCCTAATTTTTATTCAGCAGTGTTCCTCACTTAACACTTCAGTTATTACTTTGTAGGAGAGTTGGTTTCCTTGTGCCAACTCCAATACTTGACATTATGGACCATTTAATATTTGCTATGAGTTCTCATTTGAAATTTTATATTTTCATATTATTTGGTTGTAACAAACCTTTTAGTAGTTGTTATTTTCCCCCCTATTATGGCTGCCTGTTTCCTAGTTTCTGTTGGTCTCATTTTTCATTCTTCCTTCAGAATATTTAAGGTTGATGATAGGAACTTTGGGGTGTTATATAATTGAAATCTCTCCTCTTGCCTGATAGAAGTTTAAAATTGTACTTGGGTTTGTCTTTTTTGATGTCAGGCTTTATAAAGCCACCTCCATTTCAGCCTCATAATATGTTTCTTCATTTTGTTTACATTTTCTCTATTTATCATTATTATTTCTAATTTCATTCCATGATTTTTTCTTTCTAAGCTATTGAATTTACAATGAATTTAAGTAATATTGCAATTAAAAGATTTTTGTCATTGCAATTTTAGATGTTTGCATAGATCAAGCAAAAGTAGAAGAGTTTGAAGAAAAGGCATCAGAACTTCACAAAAAAGTAAGTAACGTTAACCAACCTTGCCAGACTTTGTGGGGAATCACTGAAGGCATGAATGGACCTCAGGGACTTTGCTTGTTATTCTTTTTTCCCCCTAGGTATTTATCCATACACTGTTTTCTATGTATAATTTCTTAGACCACCTTGTTATTTAAAACTTCATTCCCCATTCCCAAGTTTTGCCTTTCCTGTACTTCTTCCATTATATTTGTTATAATCTTGTATAGTACTAAATTTATGTACTTTTATGTGTACATGTGTATTAGTTATTTCTCACTCCAGAGTAAACTTTGAGGGTTCCCCCCCCCTGCCCCCGCCCTATTCACTATTTCTGCACCAAGAACAATTCCTGACTTTGTGTAAGAACTAAAAAAATATTTTTTGAATGAAAAAATTGATAGTTGAACAAAATGTTTAGAATCAAAATCCTAAGATGAGTAATCCTTAAGAAGTCATAGTTTAGATTCTTTAGACTGAAATTGTATCTGAAATTTTTAGAAAGGTTAAATTTTTGTTTTGAGTTGCTTCATTATTAGGTTGAACTATACCAGGTTGCTGTTTCATAGTTGGAAACTCTTGACTATTTTTAGCTTCATCAATTTCAATCTTAGTATTTCTGAGAATCCAGCCATTCCCTATTTTTCTCTAAAGTGGTATTTTTACCTTTTATCTCTGGCTTGGCATGTACCCATTAGACTTTCTTGGTTGGATTCTTTACATTTATATAGTCATTCTCATTTGAATTTATTATTATTATTATTATTACAGAGTCTTTTTTGAGACAGGGTCTTATTAAATTGTCACAGCTGTCCTCAAATTTATGATCCTCCGGCCTCAGCCTCCAGTGTATCTAGGATTACAAGTGTGCCCCCACGTGTTGCTTTATTCTATGTAAAGAATACACTGAGTACAGTTTAGTGCCAGTGCCTTGATTTATAAGTTTTACACCCCATTGGTGGAGCACACCTGTAATCCTAACAGCTCAGGAGGCTGAGGTGGGAGAATCACAGGTTCAAAGCCAGGATCAGCAACTTAGCAAGGCCCAAGGAATTTACCTAGACCCTGTCTCTAAATAAAACATAAAACGGGCTGAGGATGTGGCTTAGTGGTGAAGTGCCCCTGGGTTCACTCCTCTGTACAAAAAAAACAAAAAACAAAAAACAAAAAACAATGGTTTTCATATGTCACTCCTTAACAAAGGAAATGGTGCCCATTGTTTGGAAGTTATGTTTGATCTTCGATGTTTATGAAAAAGTGAAATTCTTTCAAGACATAATTAGAATCAGGCTCCTGAGCTGCTAGGATTACAGGTGTGCTCCACCATGCCCGGCCATTGAAGAAGTTTTGTGTGGAAAGTCCTATGGTATTGGGCTCGCCAAACACTGAGAGGTTATAGTCTAGTCCTTTGGCCTCAGGCTTGTGTCACAGCTATGAATATGAATATAAATATTGTCCTTGCCTTGAATGACTTGGTGTACTAGGGAAAACAGATAAATGGATCACTTAAGTCTACAAAGTGTCACTGTTGATAGATGTTCATGTTGTAGTGTGAACCTTCCCCCAGTGAGCCTTGTATTGTAGGCTCCATAAGCCCCTTCACCTTTTCTGGCAAGGTTGTAATACACTTTCAAGTACTAGAATTGAATACAGCCCAGACAGTGTTTATTTGCTCTGGTTATCATTTTCAGATATATAGTGTATCTGAGTTGAACAATATATTTCTCAACAGATTTCTTTTAAATTACAAAGTTTAAATGTAATTCAAAGATCTTGTTTAAGGTTAGTTATCTTTTTTTAGTCAGAAATTATTTTTTAGATATATTTAAAAAATATTGTTTCATAAAATATTTCTATTGCCATACCATTTTGTATATATCAGCAAAAACTTTGTTCTGATAGCTTTATAAGGACACATGTAAATACCTTCCTTTAGGGAGGAAGGAATCATAGTTGCTCGACACATTCTTTATTTTGGTGCATAAATTTGAAAAATGAAGACCAGAAATGTCAGATAGTGTATAGAGAATATTGAATTATCAACCTTCTTGTGCAGATGTACTAATACATTTACCCTAGGGAACAAAATTAAGCAGAACCTCAACCTTAACTGTGTTTCTTGACATTTTTGTTTGTAATTTTATAAGTATAATATTGCTGTAGCAACTCTTTTTGGAGAAGAAAGCCATCATATCAGATTTTATAAGGTATACTTTTAATGGAGACTCATTTTATCCCTAGGGCTACAGTGATTTGACTATAGATATTACAAAAATGCTAAAGCAAAGTTTATGTTTCATCCCATCCTTTTATAGAGGAGGATGTAGAAATTTATCTCTTTGGTGAATAATACAGATACTTTTAGTATTTGCCAAGTTGCTTTAATAAATTTTCAGAGTGTACCAATTATGACTGGTTGTTTTAATAATTTTTTTTCCTTTGGCCCCCTAAATAACACTTTTACTTTCTGAATTTTAGACTAAACATAGGATAGTGTACATATGATATTGTTAAAAGACTTCTTCATTCTTCCTCTCATAAGCATTTATTTTATGTAGCAATGAACTTTGTCTCAGTAGTAAGAAAGAAGAGAAAATGATCCCTTAATGATCTTTGATATGGGAGGAATGGTTAAATTTAATATATGATATTGACACAGTCATTCAGCACATGGAAATTTGACAGGAGTTGTCTCTATCACTTCAGTCCATAAACATGTATTGAATTTATTTATAAATGTAAGGCATTCAAAAGGTAATGAATAAAAAAGGTTCTCACTTTTATGAGTTTCCATGTTAAAGAATGCTATTGAGTCATGTGATGCTACATTTTAATAGTTTTATATGACAGCATGATAATTTTGGTAGAAAAGTCCTATGTGGGATGCGAGCCAACAGGAAGAATTTTTCATCTAGTCTTGGATGGTCAGGAAAGACTTATCCAAGAAGTGTCGGGAGGCCTTTAGGTCATTGGTTCATAACATATTTCTCTGTGTCATCCTTTGAGTCTTGCCAGAGGAAGAGGACTGATATAAAAGGAGCAAGCCTGATTCCTCTGATCCTCTTTATTGCTGCTTCCTCATATAATTGCTTGCTCTGGCATACACTCCTTCTATTGCTGTCTGTGCCTTGAGGTGATACAGCTCAGGGTGGCCCTTATAATAGAGCTGTGCTATGCCATTTGAACTTTGAACCTCCAAAATTATGAACTAAAATGACAAACCTATTTTTAATAAGGGGCCTCTGCCAGTTATTTCTTTATAGTGATGCACATCTGAATAATAAATGGAACCAAAATAATCTTTTTTTTCTTCCTAAAAATGGCTTTCTTCCCTGCATTGTATATACTCCTCCTATCCCATGTTACAACACTTTGTTTCCAGTGCAAAAAACACATAACTCTGTACTCATCTTAGATATCCTCTCCTGTTCTATTTCTTCTTTCAGTCAGATACAAACACTTTTGGATTCTTTAGGCTCATTTCTTCTGCATTATCCTCTCCTCCAGCTCAATTCGGATAGGTCCTTAGTTCTTGTTTGGACAACTACAATAGCCTCCAAACTAATCTTTGTGCCTGTAGTATTTCCCTTTTGTTTCATCTTCTACACCGTTCCTGGTTGGGTTTTCCAAAGTGCAAATTGATCATGTTATTTCCTAGCATACTTAACCTCATAACGTTCTGTGGATTTTAGGACAAACAAAACAAAACAAAAAAACTGGTTTATTGCAAAATTCCTTTCAAAATTTAATTCCTAAGTAAATTAATTAATAAAATAGAATATTACAAAATTGAACTTCTGAATAAAAAATTGTTCCTGTGTATATCTCCAGCTTAATCCCCACAGCTGGTTTTTATATCTTCTTTTGTGCCCCTGACAAAAAATTGCTTGTATTTCCTCTGTGCATTGGTATTCTCTCAGCTTGAAAAATGGTAAATGCTTTCTCAGCTAATTCTTCAAATTCTTTAAGCCTGATGTTATATATTATTCCTCTAGGAATCATTTCATGGCACTCAGTTCTTCTCTGGCTTTATTGGTAGTACTTCTCATGGAGTTGGGGTATTTGCTTTTACTTTACTATCAGACTCTGCTTACTAGAAGCACTGGCCATGTTCTGCTTAACACTCTTACCTCCAGTACCTAACCCTCTGAGAGAAATGTTAAAGGAGAAATATTATTTGGATTGTTCTTAACAAAGAATAACAGTGTTGAAAAATCAAGGTTTGTAGAGGGAAAACTTTAACCTTGGTTTTGGAAAGTTTTTATTTTGTTTTTATTTATTTTATTATTTGAACATTTTTCATTAAGAAATTGAAAATGTATTTATGGTTTAATTTGTAGTCTGGTACTTAGATGAAAGATGTCTTGGTGATAGGGATTTGTATGCCATCAGTATATGAATGGTGATGTGGAAGAGGCTATCTTATGAGAAATTGGAATGAGAGAAGCAGAGGGATGAGGCAAAAGTCCTATACTTTGCCAACATGCAAGAAATTGGGAGGAGAAATCAGGAGTAGGAGGAGAAGGGGACAGAGGAGAAGCAGAAGATGATCTTGTAGTAGAACATACAGAAAAGATATTGCATATTCTATTTGTAAGTATTTATGCTATAGAGCAGACATGCCCCTTATAGGAGTGTGGAATATTATATAATTTATTTTGTTCAACATGGTAGCCAGTGCATTGTGTGTGTCTGTTGCATCCTTTAAAATGACTAGTGTGACTGAGGAGCTGGATTTGAAATTTTATGTGAATTTTGTGAATTAAATTTATACTTAACCAGTTATGGCCAGTTGAATTGCGCAGCTATGGAGGTACCACCAAATGTGAGACTGAATTAGAATTTGGAAAGTCACAGTTATTAGAGTAATGGATACTGAAGTGAATGACGTTCAACAGCTTAGAAAAGTGAGAATGGACTAAGAACATTGTAAAAGTTGTTTCTGAAGCAAAAATGTAAGATTATGTTGTAAGGGGTAAGATGAAGGACCAAAATACAGAGGGCTGAGGATGTAGCAAGAGTGTTGAGACAATTGATTTATTTTGTCTCTGGGGAAGCCTTTCATGGCAAGAGGAATTAGGTTAACCTCTGAGTGTGCTTGGGGTTCTAAATTGCTTACTTAGGTTTAGGATTAGTATCTTTTTACTTACTTCATGGTAAGAGTGGCTCAGAGGAGCTGCAGTAGTAGTGGGAGTGGGAATATTCCTGTGGTTTTGTGAACTGAAGGAGTTTTGGGCAGTTTTTACCTGTTAGTTCCTGTGATCATTTAGTAGGGATCTAAGTTCGAGAGTAAGGATCAGTAGCCTGTGATTTAATTTCCTGCTTGTAAATGGGAATTAAAATAATATTTCTTGTTTCACAGAGTTTGGGTTATAAAACTTAAAAATGCTTCATTCTGTTCTTAAAACTCCAGTATATGCAGGAGACTGGATGCTTCTGTGCAGGCATGGGGATATGCAGTATTTCGACCTTTTGCTCAGTTTTATGTCTTAAAACCTCTTTAAAAGTAGCCTATTAGGAAAAATGAAAAGCATTATCTATACTTTAATTGTAGGGAGGTGGTGTAGTTTCAGCTGAGTGATTCAGACGTGGAAGGCCAAAAATCTGGCTTTTTATGTCTCACATCTTTTACTAGTAACTATCTTTTTGTGTTAAGGGTTTAAAGGCCAGAGGCTACATTTATGAAGCAGTTGCATCTTCTTATAATGATTTTCTTCTTTTAAAAAAGACCTAAATACTTGTTCTTGATTATGAGACAATACCCTATTTAAATTCAGTTTTCTTTTTTTAAAATATTTTTTTGTTGTGCTTGGACCCAATACCTTTATTTTATTTATTTATTTGTATGTGTTGCTGAGAATCTAACCCAGCGCCTCGAATGTGCTAGGCAAGTGCTCTACTGCTGAGCCACAACCCCAACCCCTAAATTCAATTTTCTTAAGAGAGGTTTTCAATTCTGATGATGGCAAAATAGAGCTATTTGAGTACAAGATGGGAACTTGTGATGAGTGGCTATATAAATTAGAAAACTCATTGGATTCCCCAAATTTTATTGTTTGCCTTACACCCTGAAGGTATAGCACAAAGGACTTTGAAAGATTAACTTGCCATTAATGTCTCAAAGGTACTAGGAGACATGTTGTTATAAGAAAAAAAGCAAGTAACTGATGCATTTATACAATAGAGTTGTTTATTAATAAAATACATGGAAACGGAATGCTTTTAAATCATCTTGATAAACTTCAGATAAGTTTCAAGTATAGGGTTATAAAGGTGGGAGCAGCTAGGAATTCAATATAATGTTTTGTTCTCTTATTTTCACACAAAATCACAATGATATTTAGGGACTTTTAAGAAAAATGCCAAGGTCATAGACAACTATGAGCCAGTTTGCTGAGAGAAGAAGGTCATATACTGCAACTGTGACTTGGTCTGCTCCCTTGTGAATGAATGATTTTGCCTGGAACTGGAGAGACCTAGGAAAAAGCTGTGGGTGACTAATCACAAAATCTACTATTTCTTTTATAACAAATTTAGAAATGTATGTTCTATTGGCAGATCTTTAGAGTCATATTTTTATATAAAGGATTCTGCTTTTCATTTCCATCTTTCTTTCTCCTTTTCTTTTCAGTTTGAAAAAGAGTTTACTGACCACCAAGAAACTCAGGCTCAGTTGCAAAAAAAAGAAGAAAAGATTAATGAGCTTCAAGTACAATTACAAGCTTTTAAATCCCAGGTAAAATGCCATCCTGGGTGATTTTGATATGGAAACCACACCAGGAGGACAAAGGTCATGTTATATCTTTATAGCGTCAAATGTTTAAACTTAAATTTCATTTATATGTTTTCATAATATTGTTTATATGCATTTCTGTTCCGTTTTTAAAATTATTTTTTACTTTATTCCTACTTGTATTTTTAGGAGTCTGTAATATTTTAGGAATTACCCTGCTTTCTTGTGTATTATTTGGGTTTTATTTCTAATGTCCATGCTTTCTAACTAATTAAGCATGAAGGTTAAGAAATTCTTTTGCTTTTAGATTTGTCATTCATCACTGATCTTCATCCTACTACAGGAAATTATTGCTCAAGCTATTTATTTTTCAAAACCTTCAGCCTATGGGTACCTTGCAGTGAAAGATAACCTCTAGCTGAATGAGACTATTTTCTGATAATTTTTCAATTTCCAAAAGTAAACAGATTTAAAACATGACAAAAAAAAGAGAGCAAATCTGGATTATGAAGCAGATATCTCACATACACGCTTTACACCTAAAACATTAGATAGCACGAAATACATCATCTGCATCCTTTATATGGATGTAAACAAGGGGATAGAACATTCAGAGCTAAATTTCTTCATGTAAGTTTACGTATAGGATGATGAGCAATAAGTATAGTTTAGCTATTTTCCTTTGTCCTGATTTATCGTTATGTTGAAAGAGTCTCAGGTATATTGTTTTCTGTATTATTGTCCCTTTTGTTTTAAATACTTAATGAATAGTTTTGTTACAAGGGCTGTCTGAAAATGCCTTTAGGAGATAGCGATCTGTTGGATTTTAACTTTTAAAATGAAATTGAATAATGTTTATAAGAAAATCATTCTCATTGAGTTTTCTTTATTTTTCCAAGGAGCAAGTACCATATTTCACTGAATTTTTTCCTCTTATGGCACCTTACCTTTCATTTTTTTAAAAACTTTGTTTTCTGTGGCTTGTAGGCAATGGCTGAAACATTTATAACTTTTTCCTGGCTTTAGCTTATATAAATTAGAAAAATTTCTTTTTAATTTTGCCAGTTGATACATTACTTGCAAATCCATCCTGGAAAATTCCAGTTTATAAAAAATATGTCCACTATCTTTGGATAAATTATTGCTGCATGCTATTTTTTTGTTATAAAATGGGAGTGAATTTATGTTTTTAAATAAATCAAGAATTCTCCCAAGTTATATGTAATGATCATATCATTTATGGCTATCCAAGGAAAGCCTGGAATTAAGATATTTAATGATGGACCTCATGTTCATTTTTTGAAAAACACTAGCAAATTCTTTCCTCAGATGTTTGTACTTCTCATGAGATCTGCCCATTTGTCTTAAGGCTCTTTTCTCTCTCTTGCTCAGTATTTAGTTGAACCCAGGGATGCTTTACCACTGAGCTACATCTCCACTTCCTTTTTTGATTGTTTGTTTTTTACATTTTTCATTTTGAGACAAGTTGTTACTGAACTGCTGAGGTTGCCTTCAAACTTGTGATCCCTCCAGACTTGTCTCTTGGTTTGCTGGGATTACAGGAGTGTGCCATTATGCCCAGCCTAAAACCCTTCTCTTTAAGCACTTACTGGCAAATGCCATAATTTCACTCTTCTTTAAAGCTTAGTAATATTCCATTGAGTATATATAACACATTTTCTTTATTCATTCATCTATTGAGGGTGCTAGGTTGGTTCCATAGTCTACCTATTGTGAATTGAGATGCTATAAATGTGGCTGCATCACTATAGTATGCTGATTTTAAGTCCTTTGATTATAAACCAAGGAGTGGGATAGCTGGATCAAATGGTGGTTCCATTCCCAGTTTTCCAAGGAATCTCCATACTGCTTTCCATAGTAGTTGCACCAATTTCCAGTCCCACCAGCAATGTATGAGTGTATCTTTTTTACCACATCCGTGCCCACATTTATTGTTGCCTGTATTCTTGATGATTGCCATTCTGACAGCACTGAGATGAAATCTTAGAGTAGTTTTGATTTGCACTTCTCTAAATGCTAGAGATGTTGAGCAGTTTTTTATATATTTGTTGATTGATTATATTTCTTCTTCTGTGAAGTGTCTATTCAGTTCCTTAGGCCATTTATTGATTGTATTATTTGTTTTTTGAGTTCTTTATATATCCTAGAGATTAGTGCTTTATCAGAGGTGGATATGGTAAAGATTTTCTCCCTATCTTAGGCTCTATCCTCACATTATTAATTTTTTTCTTTGCTGAGAAAAAGGTTTTTAATTTGAATCCATCCCATTCATTGATTTTTTAAATTTTATTTCTTGTGCTTTAGGAGTCTTGTTAAGGAAGTCAGATCCTAGGCCAACGTGGTGAAGATTTGGGCCTGACTTTTCTTCTATTAGACGCAGGGTCTCAGTTCTCGTGCCTAAGTTTTTGATCCACTTGAGTTGATTTTTGTACAGGGTGAAAGATAGAGGCCTGAACCATATATTCTAATGACTTTTGAATTTATCAAATGAAGCCTCATGGGTAGCTAACTATCAAATTTACATGAGTGTGAGGACAGATCGTATGCATCTTTGGCATTCTATGGGCATCTTTGGCATTCCTGTTCTTGGTCACAGCCTCCAGGCAATACTCTTCTTTATGCTTGATGTTCTCAATAAAGCATGCTGTTTGATTTGTGGTCTTTTATAACACTGTTTTTATTTGTGCTGGTGTCATGTCATTAATTTTATGCTCTTATGTGTGTTCTACTTTCTATAGTGTACCATAAAACTTTTAATATCATTGATATTTCTTACATGTGCATAATTTGCCAGTTAGTTTTCATATATGTATTTGGTATGAGGGAGGGCTTACAATTGAAGTTAATAATTTCAAGGAATTAACTGTATTACCAAGACTTACTAACCCTACTGATCTTCTGTATGATCATAAAAATTCATCTTCTAAATTCTCACCATACTCTGCAAACATAATGGGAAAGGTGGCTCAATGGACATAGCTGTTTGCTTTTCACTCCTGATTTCTACCTATCTTCTTTATGGCAGTTGACTCTGTAGAATGATGTAGAGTGGAACACTCTTTTTTCACGTTTGGTTTATGATTCTGAGCTTGTCTTTTCCTCTTCCTGTGTTTGTTTATTTCTTCGGTTATATTTGTGTTGCTGGGAATTGAACCTAGGGCTTTGTACATGCTAAGTATGTACTTTGTCATTGAGCTACATTCCCATACCTTTAAAAATATTCATTTAGTTTGAGACAGGGTCATTCTGAGTTGCTGAATTCGGCCACTAACTTGTGATATTGCTGCCTCAGCATCTCCAGTAGCTGAGATTACAGATCTTTCAGGCTTAATCCTTTTATTCTATACTTTTCTTCAATGACTGTCATGTGCCAGTCACTTGTTGAGGTGCTGGGAAAGAGTAGTGAGTAAAACAGCATAGTCAATTTTCTACTGCAGTTTTTAATCTATCAATGAGATAATTGCTACATCCCTGGACTTTTCTTAATTTTTATTTTGAGGTAGGGACTTACTAAGTTGCCAAAACTTGTCTTGAAGTTGGTTCTTCCTGGTACAGACTCCTGATTATTTCACACTTCTGATAAGAGGTAGTAACAAGAAGTATAGAGTGCTACCAGTGTAAAATGAGTGTCAAGATCAAACTTTCCTGAAGAAGGAGTATGTTAACTTATTCTGGAAAGACTGGTAGAAGATGGTCAAGTAAAAATATAACATACAAGGGCCCCTGATACCAGTATTACGAGTTGGTGCATATATGTAATTAGAAGGAAGTTACTTAAAAGACCAATTTGTAGGGACCTGATCATGATATTTATTTGTAGACCCTACTAGAAATTTTAAGAATGTTTTTCCTAAAGTGCATCAGATGTACGGAGAAGATTTGGAAATAACCATTTAATCTTTTTTTGTTTGTTTCATATATATATATATATATATATATATAGCTTATCAATTAAATACATGTTTATAGAACTCTATAGACATGTCTTTTCTCATCCTACATATTATCTGCATATTGTGAGCTCACATTTTCTTTCTCTGCTTGGGTTGTCACCTACAGACAGTTGGTTTTTTATTTGTTCTTTTTAAAAATTTTATTGGTTCTTTTTAGTTATACATGACAGTAGAGATTGATTTTGATAAAATTATACAAGGGTGGAATATATTTTATTCTAATTAGGACTTCAGTCTTGTGGATGTACATGGTTGTGAGATTTAATATGGTGTATTCATATATGTACTTAAGAAAGTTATGTCAGATTCATTTCACTGTCTTTCAATTTCTATTCCTCCTCCCTTTTCTTGTTTTCCCTTTGACCAATCTACTGAACTTCTGTTCTCTCCTCTTCAAGTCCCCCTTATTTTGGGTTAGCTTCCACATGTTAGAGAAAACGTTGGACTTTTGGTTTTGGGGATTGGTTTGTTTCACTTATCATGATTATTCTCTATATCCATCCATTTACTGGCAGATATCATGAAGTCATTCTTCTTTGTGGCTGAGTAATACTCCATTATATATATATATATATATATATGTATCACAAGTGCTTTATTCATTCATCTGTTGAAGGGTACTTAGGTTGCTTCCATAATACCTATTATGAATTTTGCTGCTATAAACACTGATGTTGCTTTGTCACTATAAAATGCTGACTTTAAATCCTTTGGGTATATACTGAGGAGTGGGATAACTGTTTCCAATGGTGATTTCATTTCTAGTTGAGGAATCTCCATATTGCTTTTCAGAGTGGTTGACCGATTTGCCCTCCCACTAGCAGTGTATGTATGTACTGTTTTTCCTACATCCTTAGCAACATTTATTGTTACTTGCATTCTTAATTGCCATTGTTGTTGGAGTGAGATAAATCTCAATATAGTTTTAATATTCATTTTTCTAATTGCTAGAGAGATTGGACATTTTTTTATATATTTGTTGTCTGTTGTTTTTCTTTTGAGAAGTGTCAAATAAATGTCATTGCCCATTTATTGATTGGGTTATTTGTGTTTATACACACACATACACACACACACACACACACACACATATTTTTGGATTTTTGAGTTCTTTTTTTATCCTGGAAATTATCTCCTTATCTGAGGTGTGTATAACAAAGATTTTCTTCCTTTTTGTATGCTCTCTCTTAATGTTCTTGATTGTTTCCTTTGCTGTGAAGATGCTTTTTAGTTTGATATCATCAATTTGTGATTTTTTTATTCTACTTATTGTACTTTAGGAGTCTTTTTGAGGAATTCAATAACTGAGCCAATATGTTAGAGTATTGGACCTACATTTTCTACTAGTAGGTGCCGGTTTTTGGTTAGTAACCAGGTCTTTGATCTAATATGAGTTGAGTTTTGTGCAGGATGAGAGATAGGGTTTAATTTTTATTCTACTACAGTTTTCCTAACATCATTTCTTGAAGAGGTTGTCTTGTCTCCAGTGTATGTTTTTTTGCATCTTTTACATAGCTGATTTTCAAATCTCAGACATCTCTATACCCATTTCCACAGTGGGCATTTCCACTTATGTAGCTATCACTGTCTTCAAATTGGGAATTGTATTTCTGGCAATTACATTTTCTTGAGAACAACAGCTATATAACTATTAAATTAGAAATGTTCTCAGAGTTTTGTGTTTTGGTTAAATTATATTGATATTAGTTAATTTTGGTTAAAAATATATCTTAGTTTTGAGTAAAGTACACTTAGTACACATTTGTAAACATGTTCTCAGTTGTTTCTCTTATTACTTTTTTCTCTAGTTTGGTGCCTTGCCAGCTGATGTCAGTATTTCTTTGCCACCTTCAAAAGAAGATGGAGCTGGTCACCCACCACTTCCTGCTCCCCCTCCATTGCCTCCTTGTGGAGGGTTGCCACCTCCACCACCACCTCCACCACCACCTCCACTCCCAGGAATGCCCTTGCCATTTGGTGGTCCTGTGCCTCCACCTCCTCCTCTGGGCTTTTTTGGTGGTAGAAACTCTCTTCCTCCACCAACACTGCCATTTGGGTTGAAACCAAAGAAAGAATTTAAACCTGAAACCAGCATGAGAAGATTGAATTGGTTAAAGGTGAAATGTACAAATGGAGGAAACTACACTTCTATCTAGATTAAAATTTAATTTTGGATTGACTAACATGTAATTTCTAGTGGGAACTCTAATCAAAGTGACAATGAATAAAATGGTATTACTATTATTTAAAAAAAATAGGCATGTTGAGAGAAAGTCCTATATTCTGGACTAAGTTGTCCTGCTTCATAAATTTGATGAGAATTGATGTTTCAATGAGATTTGATTTGTAATTAAGTTGATATTTCACAATTATTGTGATAGAAACTTACATTTATGTAGAACTTTTCAAAAGTACAAAAGTCTTAGTGTTTTTAGAATTTTTTTCTCTGTTGGTTAGCTATTGGAAAAATATTATGTATTGTCAGAAGCTGATACTTAGAGTATAAGAATTCTGAGTCTGGCAGAAAGGTAGTTTGATGGTCACATAAATTGGGGAAATGCTATATAATGAATATATCTTGCCCTTCAAGAGTTGTAGTGTGGGTGAACATTAATAATCCTCTGAGAAATACAATTGAGAAGGAATAAATTAAACTTTATCTCATTCAGCTGCAAATCCTTACCTATTTGATCATAGAAACTTTTTCTTTCTCATCAAACTTAATGTCCTTCACAATTTGTACTTCATTGAACAGACTTTGGGGGAAAATCTTGCAGAGATTTCTTCATAAACATCCGCTGGCAGCTTTGGGCCCTGGGTATATACATTGCAATTGGGCTGGGACAGGTGAAACACTCAGCTGTTTGTGAATCAGTCTTCTCCCTGATTGCAGATCAGACCTCATGAAATGACTGAAAACTGTTTCTGGATAAAAGTAAATGAAAATAAGTATGAAAATACGGATTTACTTTATAAACTTGAGAATACTTTTTGTTGCCAACAAAAAGGTAAGCTTAACATCTTGGTTGTGTGTTTATATTTAGAATTTTAGTTGCCAGTTTGCATATCCAGCCTCTACAAACATTATTTTAAGAATCCTATCCCTTATATTTTTACATTACAAATGATAAATTATCTCATGAGTATTTAAAAATGAATTTTGTTGTAAATTATATTAAAATGAGCAATTTTAAAAATGCAAATGATTAATATAAACTTTTATTTTAAAGTTCTTTTGTGTAATAGTTGTTTTGAGGATGTTCTATTGAGGTGAAATAGTTTTGTGTTTTTTTTAAAGAAGGTTTTTTTTGAGAGTCAGTTTTAGCATGTGAATTCTCTTTAGTTTGAGAAATAGAAAAAATAAAAGTCAGCCTTTCTCTAGTCAGAGTTTTGTCACACTTAGTATTATAGTGACTGCTCCATAATTAGTTGGTATAAGCAAATGAGATAGAAATATCAAATATATTGTGTATTCAAAGTTGACTTGAAAAACAAGTGTTTTAGTATGTTATGATCTTTTTAATAAAAACAATGGATTTAATTTTGCAACTTGTTTTGTGATAGCTTAACCTGTGCAGTGTGTTTTTTAAAAAAAATGTTTTTAAGGACATGGGCTTTTTTTTTTTTTTCTTCTGAAAATTGAATTCATTTTTTCCAGTCTCCCATGGGCTTGCCACTTATATTCAATGCCTGATAATAACAAATATTTTTAAATTAATTTTTATGTGTATGTAAAACTTATACTTGAGGTTTGTAGGAAGGCATTTTAGATCAATCATTACCTTTTAACTTTTGAAAAGACCCTTTTCCACCACAGTCCCTGGGTTCATTGAACTCAGGGCTGCCAGGAAAGATTGTGCTGGGTGGATGTAGGTGGGAGGCCTGGGTATAGACATGGAGGATTTGACTTCTTAAAATGCTTACTGTTTACTAGGTGCCATGGTAGAAATGCCCCAAGTATCTGATTTAATTTGATCATCACAGCAGCCTGAGAATATTGGCAGATACCTTAAAAACTTATTTGTATTCCTTTGAAACGTTTTCTAAAAGGTCATCATAAATTCGAAATTCTCTCTAAGAGATTATTATAAAATAAAGTAGCTTTCTAGAATTTGTGGAACATCAAAACCCTTTACCAGATATTTTTGTGAGGAGCATTTGTCTTGACTAAAATATTAAAAATAAAATATTGTGGTCTTTGAAAATGGAGAATTCTCAGCAAACTCACCATAGGAAAACTTGTAAAGTAAGCAGATCTTAATTTTACCTTTTGATTATGGAGAATCAGAATTTTCTTTGAATAAGATTAGTGCACTCTTCAAGGCAATCAAGGAAAATATATGGCAGTTAAAATGTGTATTTACATTTAAAACACTTCAGAATTTCAGATTTCATAATCTGGAATTGATTAGTTTTCTCTTTGCTTTGCTAGTAGGTGCAAATGGTGGTACCTAAAAGCTATTTAAGTAATGCTGCCATCCAGCTACTCTTTCTTTTTTTCCCTCTTTACTCTGATTACTTTCTTAATTAATGAGGCTCAAAAGGGAAACTTGTTAGCATGTATTTAATTTAACTGTAGTGTTATCCCTAAATGAAATAATTGGACCTTTAAAAAATTCTTAAGTCATCTAACTTTAGCCTTGAGATTCAAGGTTAAAAAAAAAAACAAAAATGTATTTTTAAAAAAATGTAGATGTATTTGCTCAGTCTAATACTAGTTGTACAGATTAAGATGAGAAATGATGATCATTTTCTGAGTCTTCTTACTTCCATCCTCCTTGGCCTCTTGGTATCTTTGTTCATTCTGTCCCCTTGACTGGAGTCTTTGTTATTTGAGTCAGAAGCAGGGGACCACAGCATCTTTTGTCTCAGCTCATATGTGGCTTTTCTTTTTTTTTCCCTTTGGTGTGTATGTCCATGGATGATATTTTCAGGTTGAACAGAAAAGATAGAAAGCCCAGGGATATGGCCTAACCAATGCTAACATTTCATAATGCCAACCAGAGATGAATTGTGAAAGTCACTTTATTTTGTTCTGTACTTCAAGGAATAATTTTTAGAGAGCATTATATAATTATATATGATTTTTGGCATTACTGGTAAAGTATTTAATTGGAAAATGCCAATCATTGTTGCTTTTAGAAAAACAGAATTTTTATCGTGTAGTATAGCTAGTAAAAGATAAGAAAGGAATGGAAAGAGAGATGTTCAGAAGGCTTAGGAAAGACTATAGGTTATTGGAGTGGACAAGCTGCTCCTTGAAGTCACTTTATTTACATGTGCTTCTGAGGTCCTAGGTCCCAATATTAATATTTGCCTATCCCCATGACTCCAAAGATTTGAATGCATTTTATAGTTTCTGAAGAATTCAGAATTAAATTTGACTGCTTACACATTATTCATTCCAAGGTGAAAATCCAATTGTGTCTCCACGTCTTGGCGTACAAGGGGAGGAGAGGCATTGACTGCTGGATGATTTTAATCACTGTTCTGCCTGGGAACTAGGCAGCGGAGGGTCAAGAATTCAAATTAATAAAAATATGGAATGTTTAGCGAATTGGTGTATCTCCATTTTTTTATTGCATTGACTCTTTGTACTAAGAACTATGGCTATTTTTCTGATGACAAAGATGGATGTTCCATCCCAGGCACTTAAAAGCATTTGTAATGGATAGTGAGAACGAAGGAATTGAATCAAGCCTTAAAGTAGAACCTTAAAATTTACTCACATATCTTTTTTTTTTTTTGGTCAATAAATATGTGTTTCTTCCCCCTTTACAGTAGATGGTGCTTTAGGTTTCTGTGACATTCATGTCCAGATCACTGGGGTTCTATGGGTCTAATATCCTGAGAGTTGGAAAAGGAAGAGAAACTAATACCTAGAGCCATAGTCATGTCCCAGTCCTGGGGCTGAGTCTTTTCAGTTATCTTGTTTGATCTTTACCACTTTACCACATCTCAGCTAAGATCTTTTCTCCTTATCTTCTGATTACAAAACAATTTTTATTTCCCATAGTGTCATCTTGTCTCACCTTCCTACAGATAGAGCAAGATATTTTTTAAGGACATGTACTTTTTTTTTTTTTTAATTCTGTTGCCCTTTATTTTACTATTTATATATTTGTACATGTGTGTATATATATATATATTTAGAGATATGCATGTATATATAAATATATGTATACATCCCAAACACACACACTTTCCTCCTCATTTAGATCTTACTTTGTTTCTTAATTTCCCTCTGACCATTTTTAACATTGTTGTCGCCTTCTACCATATATTAGAAAGTACAGCCTTTTCCTATGAAATCCATATTTTTTCCTGCAGTTCTCTTATATCATTGTCTCTTACTTGATTTTGCTGTTGAATATGGTTTTCTTGTTTCTTTTTTCTGTTTTTGAGATATATGTTAACTTTCCATATTTTAAATTCATCTGAAAATATATATGAGCATTTTTTATTTTTATTTTTTGGTACTGGGGATTGAATCAAGAGGCATTAAACTGAACTATATCCTCAACTGTTTTAATTTTTTTTTTTTTAGACCATGCCCTCAAACTTGTAATCCTTCTACCTGTGTTTCCAGTGGTGCAGGGATTATAGGCATCTGCCACTGGGCTTGCATTTTTCCTGATTACTTTTTTTTTCCTTTCCTTTCTTCTGTTTTTCCATTTGACTGCCACTATTCCAGTCCACAAGTGTATATTGCATGTTCACTAGGCCTTGGGTTAGGGACTGGGAGAATGGGAATGAACAAGGGAATCATGCTTCTTCTGTCAAGTTATCTGTTGAAGTACAAGATTGGGGTAGAACATGGAACAACAAATACTGATTGGTATTTTACAAGAGACTGCCATAGTTTACTATCTTTGGCTTCTGTTGAGACTTAACAAGGTTATAAAAGAACATTGTTTATATATATCTCTCTCTGAAATTTAATCACAATATTCGTGTATTGAACATTTGGTATCATCAAAATAGTGCTAATGACCTGTGTATTTTTTACCAGATTGGAAGCATCTGTTGGTTAATTTTAACAGGCTGTTGGAAAATGGATTGAAGTATACTAACAGGTTATTGGTAGTGGATTTGTCATCTAAAATTAATATTAATTACTTTCATTATTCACAAACTGTTAACTTAATAGGGATTAAAGGGCTTTCTGGAAGTATATGAATAGTCTAATTCAGTTAGACTGATTTAGTATGAAAATCTGGTTCCACAATTGTTAGCTTTTTGAAGTAATCACATTTTATAACAGGTGCATCATATTTGCAGATAAGGCAAATAAACTGGTTTATAAATAATTTCTTACCTGAATAGTTATGGCATATGGAAACAGTTAATGGATTACACACTTAAAAACAAATCAAGCTTAAGATTTCTAACATCATAGTTCAATGGACAAAGCATTGGGGTAGCAAGTCATAAGCCACAGATTATCCCAATGACTTGGCTGTGTTCAAGATGTCATTTTGTATTTGAAACACAATTTATTCCTTTTATACACATAAGTGTATAAAAAGTCCTAAGTCACCTTCCCAAGCCTAAAATAAGACAAGCGGTACAGTTTATAACTGAGAATGCATGGCAATAAAGGAATAATGCCAAATTGAATGCCACATATCTTTGTATCTTGCACATCCTGAAGTTTTCTGAAAAGAACATTTGAGGAATAATAATTTGGAAAGATTGAAGAAAAAGAAAATGGCCAATTAAGTATTCTCTAGGAATGTATCACTTGGTTCTTGTCTGGGTTAAGTCTCAAAAGAACTGAAGACATTAGTAAATTATGAGATGCGTTGAGGGTGGCTTGTTCCACCATTAGAATGTATCCCATTGATAACCAGATACAGTGTTCTATGTTGCATTCCTGAAGAATTAGAAATTTATTCTTAAATCCTCATAGAATTAGTGTCTACCCTGAAGCTACGGTATACTTTCAAATGACAGGGGCCACAAAACACTTTGGTTACATGCTTATTTTTATAGCATATTTATGATG